GGGGGGGGAGGTTTATTGAATAAGAGGGAGGGGTGAGAGGCGGTAAACTACAAGTTTATTTTGTGATTATAAAAGATTGACTTTTTTTTAGATGATTCAACTATTTTTGTTTTACCCTTAGAGGTATTTTTGGTGATACGCCCGTAGCCATCAAACGTATTCTTCGATCACGAGAAGTGGACCAAAATTGGCATCGTGAGCATGAAATCTTAAAGGAACTTCAGCACGTCAACCTTATCAACTGCTATTGGACTGTAAGTGGTTCTACGTAAATGGTGGTGGTGGGGAGGGGGGGGGGGTAGGGGACGACAGTTGTTTCCCCCCCCCCCCATCTCAAAAGCCTATTTAAACTATTCTTGTGCGCTCATTTTCTTCCAGGGCTCAACACAAAACTTCCACTATTTGGCGTTGCAACTCTGCACAGAAAGCCTATTGGATGCTATGAAACCAGAAGTTGAGGGGGGACAACAGCCTTTCTCAACCTCACGGCAAAGTCCTCTTAATCGATATAATCTGACGCCCATTCAGTGTGTGCATCAGCTTAGTAGTGGAGTCGCTTTTCTACATTCCAAATCCATTGGTGAGTTCAGATTTCAACCCCCCCCCCCACACTTTCCTATTAACAGACAAATACAGCTTCGCAGGTTGGAGTTGAGTAGTGATTTCAAAGAAAAAGTGTATTTGCCTTATTATTCCCATGAGAAGTCATCCAAATTCACGGTAAGGAATTGAGGGAGTGGGTCTGCTCGAAATTGGTGCCTCTTTTCTCAAGATGTCTCTTGAAATACTCCATCGATGTAGTTTAGTGGATCATGGTTTGGGTTCTGGTCGTTAGGTCATGAAGGAGCGCTTAATGATTTTTGCAATCAGAGTAAGAGGGTTCGGTCAGTCTATCCGGGTAGCTAGAAAGCGACTTGCATCATACCCGGCATTCATGTTTGTTAATCAGGTCGAATTCTCTTTTTTTTCATTGGACTTGCCAATTGACCTTGAAATTTTGTTTGAATTGTCTCGATCGGACAGGCTTGGTTGAGCGCAATCACAAAGTCAATCACCCGGGTCCCTCATCCTTATTGCACTTGGATTTGATGATTTTGAATTCTAAATAATATTCTAATGATTGTTTTTCTTAACTAAATCATGGAGAATTGTTATTAATTGGCATTACCTGTGTGTATGAATAAATATGGATTTTATTTGCTTTGAATAATTTGTTGTTTTTTTTATCGCAAAGATTG